CACCCTCAGTCACGCTCAGGGTACAGCCGATTGACGGGTTGGGGCACCGCCCCCTGTCACACTCAAGGCAGGGTCGATGGGGAGGTTGCGGCGCCACCCCCTGTCACTCACAGAGCAGGGCCGATCAGGGGGTTGGGGCGCTGCCCCCTGTCACACACAGAGCAGGGCCCATCAGGCGGGTTGGGGCTCCATACCCTGTCACACACAGAGCAGGGTCGATCAGGGGGTTGGGGAGCTCCCCACTGTCATGCACAGAGCAGGGCCGATCAGGGGGTTGAGGAGCTCCCCCCTGTCACTCACAGAGTAGGGCCAATAGGGGAGTTGGGGCACCGCCCCCTGTCACACACAAAGCAGGGCGGATCAGGGGGTTGGGGCGCTGCACCCTGTCACACTCAGGGCAGGGCCAATGGGGAGGTTATGGCTCTACCCTGTCACACACAGAGCAGGGCCGATCAGGGGGTTGGGGAGCTCCCCCCTGTCACACACAGAGCCACAGGGCGATCAGGGGATTGGGGAGCTCCCCCCTATCAGGCACAGAGCAGGGCTGATCAGGGGGTTGGGGCACCTTCCCCTGTCATGAACAGAGCAGGGCGGATAGGGAGGTTGTGGCCCCGCCCCCTGTCACTCACAGAGCCGCAGGGCGATCAGGGGGTTTGGGCGCTGCCCCCTGTCACGCTGATCCCGGTGCCGGGAGGCATATTACCCTTTTACTATATAGAATAGAGTCCTGGTGCACGGGTGGGGGCCGGCTGGTTTGCCCTGAAGGGTGTCCTGGATCAGGGTGGGGGTCCCCACTGGGGTGCCTGGCCAGTCTGGGTGAGGGGCTGAGGGCCATTTTCAGGCTGGCGGGTGACTGAAGCTCCCAACTGCTCCTTTTTTTCTTTTTTTTTTCTTTTTATTCTGGGCCAGCTTTAGCTCTGAGGCCTCGCTGCTGAAAGCAGGTTTCTGGCCTTTACCTTTTGTATTTGATACAATGTTGCGGTCCGGCTGGCTGAAGCCCGGCTGACTGAAAGCTGGTTTCTAGGGTTTTGTTTAGCTTCTATATTTGCAACATAGTTGCTTAGAGTTGCAGCTGAGAGGCCGGCAAGTCAAGCGGGGAATGTTGGAGTTCGCCATCACTGGAGCAAGCAAGCCTCCCTGTTCACTTCAGTACATGGCTGCCAGCCGCCATCTTGGCTGACAGTTAATTTGCATAAGGATATGCTGATTAGCCAATGGGAAGGGTAGCGGTCGTACGCTAATTACCATGTTTCTCTTTTATTAGTGTAGATAGATACTAGAGGCCTGGTGCACGAACCAATATATATATATATTATAGAGGCCCAATGCACGAAATTCGTGCAAGGGACTCTGCCCTCGCGGCCCTGCCTCGCAGCCCCACCCCCCACCCACTGGTCGTTCCAGAAGGTCATTCCACTGTCCAGTCTAATTAGCATATTAGCTCTTTATTATATAGGATACTAGAGGCCTGGTGCACAAATTCATGCACAGGTGGGTCCCTTGGCCTGGCTGGCAATCGGGCCGATCGAGGCATGGGAGGGTGGCTGGCGGGGGGAGGGCCCGCAGAAGGTTGTCTGTGGGAGCACACTGACCACCAGGGGGAAGCTCCTACATTGAGCATCTGCCCCCTGGTGGTCAATGCATGTCATAGCGACGGATCAACTGGTGGTTTGCTTTTTCAGTCATTCAATCACTTAGGCTTTTATATATATAGATTAAAGTGCAGTTTGATTTTTCTTTCTTGCAAATATGTAGGGAAGAGGCAGAGAAATAAGGAGGGAGGGGGGAGACAGAGACAGAGTCAATAAGCTGGTAGAAAACTCAGCCTTAAAAAATTTAAATTCAATATGGGATACCATCATTTTCATTTTAGGTTCCAGCCCATTTGTGGTCATAAAATCAATCCAGTGTGTTGAGACCAACATCTTAAAAATAAAATAAGAGAACATCCATGTTGTAAGGTTAAGTATTGTTTTGAGAACCTTGTTTCATTTATATACACACACACAATCGAGTGTAGTGCATTGAGGCACAGATGTATCTCTTACTGAGGATCACAGCCCAAAAAAAAAGTTTAAAAAATATTGGTGCTGAGGAAGTAGACTTGCCAACCAAAAATCTTGAGTGTTGCCAGTAGAGGAAAGACCCTGGGTAGCTGCCTCAAAAAATATATTCTAAGCCAATACCATAAAAGATCAGAGGACTGAATTTTGTTGTCTGTGTTGACTCAAAAAATTAACTGTGGCTCTGAAAAACCAAGAAAGGGTTTCAAATCTCAATCCACATGGCATCTCTGATACACATGTGATTCACAGTAAGAGGAAAAGGATGATGGCCTCAGTCTCCCTGCATCAAGTATCACCTGGACAAGTAGAAATTTGGGTAAACCAGGGCTGGACATAGAGCAATTTACTATCCTGTCAATTACAAAGACCTTACAAACTATCTGAGAGACAAAAGGACACACATCTAATGATAAGTGAGAACCTGGGTGGTAAAAAGCGAAGATAACATGAGCTTTGAGTCAAGCCACTGGAATAATAACACCATGCCTACCACTAACTTGCTGGTAGAACTGAAATTAAACTACCTGTCTAGGCTTCAGTTTTTCATAAACTGGATGGATTGACTGCATCTCCGGGTGAGGAGGAGGTCCTGAGAATGTTAAGACCAGAGGATAGTCCTGATTTGTTTTATGACTTCAGTATCTCAATCTAAGGAAGTATTATTTTTCCAATTTTACAAACAGTTTAACTGAGGCACACTGTTACCACAGCTAATGTAAACATATTGCATTTCTCCCTGGAGTTAAAAGTAAAGATGCTCTAATAGCATCTGGCCAATAATCAATGAGGATTAAATTAATGCTCTACTAGTAAATTCAGGGAGCAACATCTACCTCTAATTTTTAAACAGTATTTAGCAAATTTATTTCTCTGTATGAAGACAAGATTAAGTGGGCAGGCAAGGCTCTTTTGAGAAAAGCAGAAAGTAATGGTTGAAAAATATCCAGTTGTGTCCTTTCATGCTGTGTTGATGTTTTAGCTTTTAATTGCACTGGCTTTTTTTTTTAACACTATGTGTTGCCTAGGGGATTTTATGTTAAATGTGCAACTTAAATATCCTAGATAATAAAAGCCTAATATGCTAAGTGTCCGGTCGGCCAGTCATCCATTCAACCAATCAAAGTGTAATATGCTAATGATATGCTAAGATCACTCAACTGCTCGCTATGATGTGCACTGACCACCAGGGGGCAGACACTTCGACCGGTAGGTTAACTTGCTACTGGGGTCTGGCAGATCCGGACTGAGTGAGACAGGCCGGACACACCCTGGAGCCCTCCCGTGGTCCCTCCCCAGCCCCATGGTGCAATCTGGGACCCCTCAGGGAATGTTAGAGAGCCAGTTTTGGTCTGATCCCGCAGGCCAGGCTGAGGAACCCCACTGGTGCATGAATTCGTGCACTGGGCCTCTACAGTGTGTGTGTGTGTGTGTGTGTGTGTGTGTGTGTGTGTGTAATTTAATTAGCAGAGATAGAACTAAAACAAACCTAGGTAGTGGAACTGCCATTTATTATTAGAAATTTCTATGTAAAAATGCTGTTTAAAGCAATATAAAAAGAACAATGCTTGGTACTAAACTGTACAGGAAGTTTAATACATATGTACACTAAACTTCAAATATTAAAAGTTAAATTTAAAGAAATCTAATTGTAGGTTATGACTTAAACCTCATGCATTTCAGCCACAAACTCGAAGGAAAATTTATACAGTGAAAGCAGTAACAGATTTTTCCCCAAACCAGAAATTCTCAAATGAAAGTGCAGCAACTTTCTGATTGATTTTTTACAATAGAATTTGACTTTAATATTTCCATTATGTAGTATCACTTCTCTATCAAGTTGTGCTATCTTCACATTGTCTAGAAATCAGAAAAACTGGTAACTCAATAGGGGTTCTAAAAACAGAAACAGTTACTTGATGAGTTTGAAGTGAAGTGTTTTTGATGAGTTTTAAGAGAAGGAAGTGCTTTGATGAGTCTGAGGGAGAAGGAAATAAAAGTCTAATGTAAGCACCAGTTTCACCCTCAATTCTTAGGCTTCAGAAAAGCCTAATTAACCCAGGAAAGGAATTTGGGCCTGGCACACCCGGGTTCAGACGTGGCAGGATCCTGAAACCAAGTTTTTTTGAACCTTTGAGTCATATACCACAGGCAAACCAGAGCTGCGATATGCAGGTCGTTAAGTCAACAGGTCCTTTAACAAGAGGGTGTGCGGTTGGTGACTGGCAGCTGGATTTCCTCCTGCCACGAAGAAAAATAACTCCTTTTGATCAAACCGGAAAGTGGGCGCAGCTCTGGCTTAGGGAGCGCACCCGGAAAAGTGTAGAGACGAAACAGAGAGAGAGAGAAAGAGAGAGAGAGGAGAGGGGGGCGGGGGATGTCCGCGTCCCGACCACAGCGCGCCTTTCCAAACCACTCGGAAACCGTGGAGATGGCTCGGGCGGCCGCGGTTTGCAGCGCAGGACTGTCTGGGGTCCGGCCGGGAAGGCTGCCCGGCCAAGTCATGCCCTCCCGCGTCCCGGGCTTGGCCACCGCGGGCACGGGGGCGGCGGAGACTGGCAACCTGTTCGCCCGAGTGGAGACTCGGCCTCCTCGCGCCCGGCCCCGCCGGCTCCCCGCTCTGCGACCCTCCCGGGGACAAGCGCGGGCCACCAGGACTTGAGCCCGGGTCCGGCTCCCGGAGCCCCCCAGGGAGCCCGACGGGGGTCAGCGCGGGTGACAGGGCCACCCCGGGGAGCCACCTACCCCCGCCTGGGGCGCCCCTGCCGGCCTCTCCCAAGAGGGCAACTGAAAGCTGCCCTCGAGACCATCTCCAACCGGCCACGGGGACCGAACCCTCTCCCCATCTCGGACCCCCGCAGCCGTCGACCACCCCTTGTCCGGCTCCACCTGGGAGCCCCCGGCCCCCCGGGCTCGGGCGCCGGCTCCCCGGCTTACCTGGAGGGTGGGCAGGACCGGGCGGCGGGAAGCGGCGGCCGGCGGGCGCTGGACGTGGGCCGGGCGCCAGGTGCAGGTGGCGGCGGCGGCGGCTCCGGCGGCTGTCGCTACAGTTGCCTCTCAGCCCGGCTCCTCCTCCGCCACCGCCTCCTGCCTTCCCGCGGGGCCTCCAGCGTTGCCAGGAGAGGCCGAACCCCGGCTCCGCTTCCTCCGGAGTCTCCCAGGTGAGCTCCAGCCGGCGACGTCGGCAGGGGCGAGGCCCCCGTCCCGCGCCTGCGCGCAGGGCCGCCCGCCCC